GGAGGACGAGGAACAGGTTGCTGGTTGCGCCCTTCTGGCTCAACCGGACCTGGATGTCAGAGCTCTCCCTCGCGATAGCCCTCCCCTGGCAGTCCCTTCGAGAGAGCACCTACTCTCTCAGGGACAGGGCACCATCTGGCACCCTCGCCGATCTTTGGAGGTCCTTAGACGCGAGGAAGACTTAGGTAACCTCCGATTGCGGTGGCTAATACCGTCACTCGGGCTAGAGCCCCCTCCCCGAGCACGCCTATGCCCTGAAGTGGAGTCTATTCACTGAATGGTGTGTCTCTTGCTGAGAAGACCCCCGTAATTTGCCAGATCAGCGTTGTGCTTTCTTTATGCCGAGAGAAGCTGGAGAGCAGGCTGTCGCCCTCCACACTCAAGGTTACGTGGCTGGCTGCCATTTCCGCTCTCATGATGCGGTGGCTGGCAGCACCGTGGGAACGCATAACCTCATCATCCGGTTCCTCAGGGGCGCTAAGGGAATTAATCCACCCCGCCCCCTCTCATGCCCTCTTAGGATCTCGCCCTCGCTACACAAGCCGCATCAGATCCCTTCGATCCTCGACTCAGTATCTTTCTGTCCCTGAAGACAGCTCTGCTGGTCGCGTTGATATCGATTAGAGGGTCGGGGACCCGGAGGCATTTTTCAGTCAGTGACTCGTGCCTGTAATTGGGCTGGCTTTCTCTCACGTCCTGAGACCCCGCCCGCGATATGTGCCCAAGGTTCCTACCACTCCGTTTTAATACGAGGTAGTGAGCCTGCAAGCGCTGCCCTCGGAGGAGGCAGACCCAGCCCTTCTTTATTGTCCAGTTCGCGTTTTGCGTATTATCCGGACCGCACTCAGAGTTTAGATCATCTAAGCAGCTCTTCGTCTGTTATAGCGGTCGGCAGCAGGGAAGTGCCGTACCGAAATAAGTTCCCACTAGATTGTGGATGCCTTTCTTTCGCTATCAGAGCCGAGGTGAGCCGCGTCCCCCGAGAGTGCGTGCGCACTCCACTCGGAGCTTCGTATCCTCTCGAGCGCGAGCATGCGGCGCCTCTCTAACAGACATCTGTAGAGCTGCGAGCTGGGTGACACCCAACACATTTGCAAGGTTTTACAATCTGCGAGTGGAGCCAGTTTCCTCAAGGGTATTAGGTAACCCTTGGTGATTGAGGAAACAATTCGGTAGGGTGTTGAAACATGCTTGCTGCACCATTCTCCCTAACACGGAGGTACGTGCGCCTTTTTATCTGTCAGTTCCCCGTCAGGTGAGCCCTGCAGATTCCTCCGTGGCCCCCAGCACTGACTCAGCAGAGGAGTCGCTTGCTGGCCCACTACGTTGTAGGTCTGCCCGCTGGTCAGCCCGCGTTTTGGGTAAAGGTGCCTGCTATGCGTGATCCCCACTAGGCGATCCCATATGCTTATTCCGCCACGGTTAAGTCCCCCCCCTGGGCGGACCCGTGTCTTCCCTCTCCGCTAACCACTCTTTTGCTATGCGTACTCCTACTTTTTAGGGCTAGTCCATATGTAAATTCTGCCATCTATCCCCCCTTGGGTAACGAATGGCCTCCGCAGCGACCTCCCTATCGGGATTGTACGCTTCCCAACGTACTGTCGTATTTTCCAAGAATTATCTAGATGCTCACGACTTCCCAAAAAATATATCTAAATCCTTAAGACTTCTGTTGAAGTAGGATAAATTAGGGCCAGGGACACATTGGAGAACCGCGCCTCCCATGATGTGGGTGCGTCACGCTTGCTTGACTATCCCCTCATCGGGGGCGTTGGTAAGGTGCAGTCATTATGGCGATTTCCATACTTCTCCCATTAGTGGATTTCAATCAATCCACTCTATGGCACTGAAGTTCCCCAACCGAAGGGGAACGTTCGAGGTTACAGAAGTAACCCTTCGTTCCCCGAGGAGGGGAACGGAAGTGCCATACTCCGTCGCCATAATGACTGTCCCTTAGCTGTTTGAAAGTCTCTTCAGCTTAAAAGGATGGCGTTTGCTCGCTCCAGGTGTGCTTATATGCTGGGATAATTGGTAATGAAGTACACCTGTGCAAGCTTACGCTGCCAATTCATTGCATTCATTGGCCCGCTCAATACTCTTTCAGACAAGCGGCTTCTGAACCGAATCCTCCCATTCGTGGATTTCAATCAATCCACTCTGTGGCACTTCCGTTCCCCTCCTCGGGGAATGAAGGGTTACTTCTGTAACCTCGAACGTTATATGGTACGTCTAAATAACTGTCTTTTGCAGACAGCAAGATATATGCTATAGGCTAGTTAACCTTAGCATAGCTTCCCGTCACTTTTTACTACTTATTTATGTTCTGCTAAATCCTCCACAAGCACCAAACCATCAACACAGCCACATTCTGCCCCAGCAAGTCAGTTTCAAACATAAAAAAACAAAAACAAACAAACTTTGTGTCTGTTTTGTGGCAGGCAGATGACAATAGCAAGGCTGTATCTTTTAGTATTATATAGAATACTTTTGTTCTGCCAGATCTCCCAGGCAGGGTTTTATTTAGATTTATTTAGTTAATTTTAGTTTTTGGAATTCTGTCCATTGGAAAGAAGTTCTTTCAGAAGCAGAACAGTTTTTTGAAGTATTATTTGTTTTTGTTCTGTCTATTCAGTGTTCTTCAACAAGAACGGTGGTGGTGGGGTTCATAATATTCACAATGGTATTTTATTAGTTGTTGGTTTAACCATGGATGAGATAATGGCTTCTATGTTATTTTCTTTTCAATTACATTTCTTGTCACATGTTCAAAAACAACAACCAATATTGCATGTCTATAATTTATATAATGGGTATAATTAAACAATACTTTCACTATAACGTAAATTAGAAGTGTAATAGAAAAAATATATATTTTTGCACCATTTTGAATTTTACTCGAATACAAATAGAAATACAAATACTTTTCCCCCCTCAACAAATACAAATACAGATACAAATACCGGCTGCTCCGCACATCCCTAATATATATATATATATATATATATATATATATATATATATATATATATATATATATATATATATATATATATATATATATAATAAAAACTTAGCAAAAACTTGATTTCATCAGAAATTAACAAAACATGAACATGATTATTCAACCAACAGCAGGATTACATGAACCACAGCTAACAGGAAACAAAATAAACATGAAAGATATTTATACCAAACACAAAGTAGTACATGACATGAGACAACCTAAAAGAAAAAAGACGCATGACTAAGCAGCCAATGAAAGCATGGCACATGGGCTGTATCAATTTTGTATGTGCTTCAGGGTTCCCGCGGGTCTTTAAAAAGTCTTAAAATGTCTTAAATTAAAATCTGTGAAATTAAGGTCTCAAATTGTCTTAAATTTTACCGTAAAATGGCTGTAGGTATTAAATTTTCAACTGGTGTGCTTAATGATGATAGGGAAGCACAGTGGTCCACCATAAAACATCTAATAGTTGGTCAATGTAGTAATTTATTAGCTTATTACCGTAGGTCGGCTACAGATGCTTATGTCGGTCTGCACCTGCGCGCTGTTATTACGCGGTTGTCGAGGTGAGGTTCAAAATGCAAAGATGGGAAAGTGTAAATTTAACAACGTGGCAATGAGGCAATGTGTAAATTCTGCAAAAACACATTTTTGTTAGGGACCATGGGGCTCAAAGTTGTCGAGTCGCACATGAAAGGAGTATAGCACCAGCGGTAACTTATGTTGCAACAGCTAGTCATAGCGGGTACAGTTTAATCCGCGCATTGTTTGCAGCTCAACCTAACAATGTTACTAGTTCAGACTAGAGCTGAGGATCTTTGCCCAAACCAGACAGATTCGAACTTATTTCTATAATTTTAGACGGGGTAAGACTTGGCTTGGGTTTGCGCAGTAAATGAACAATCATGTGATGCATTTCTATATATATAGATGTGTGTGTGTGTGTGTAAATATATATATATATATACATGTGTGTGTGTGTGTGTGTGTGTGTGTGTGTGTGTGTGTATATATATATATATATATATATATATATATATATATATATATATATATATATATATGTTCACTTTGTAAAATACAAACAAAAAAGTTTGACATTAATAATGATTGTTATAATATTAAGGGCAGCTATCACCAATAAAGATTTACTATAATACTATGTAATTAATTTATTTTAGAATGTATAATTTACCGTTTTTAACAGTTACTTCTCTCACTTGATAATTACAACTGTTAAATCAATTTGCCCTTCTGAATACCAAAAATGCCACAGGAAAGATATTGCCTTAATTTCTGACATATATTTTCTAAAAGTATAGCGCATATAAATACATCCAAGTCAATAATGCTTTTCAAAAACAACTTATTTTTAAATATATATTTTGTTTAAATCAAGAGCATCATTTAATATGGGAACTTTTTCATCATTGTATAAAAATGTCTAGAGAGATAAGACATTTTTCAGGCATGCTATTCATTGTAAAGCAATGTCATTTTGTTTTTGTGGGTACAATGACTGTTATGTAGCATTTTAGCTGTTTAGCATTAGCTTCTATTATATTTTAATTTATATGAACTAGAATGGTGCAGCATGGTGGTGCAGTGGGTAGCATAATAGCCTCACAGCAAGAAGTTAGCTGGTTTGAGCCTCGACTGGGTCAATTGGCATTTCTGTGTGGAGTTTGCATATTCTCTCTGTGTTCGCGTGGGTTTCCTCAAGGTGCTTCAATTTCCCCCACAGTCCAAAAACATGTGGTATAGGTGAATTGGGTAGGCAAAATTGTCCTTAGTGTATGAGTGTATATGTATGTTTCCCAGTGATGGATTGCAGCTGGAAGGGCATCTGCTGCGTAAAACATGCTGGATAAGTTGGCATTTCATTCCGCTGTGGCAACCACAGATTAACAAAGAGACTAAGCCGAAAAGAAAATGAATAAATGAACTACAAAGTCTTCTGCTGTACAACGAAAAAAAAAAAACATGCTATAGGACCTTTGGTGCTACGAGTGGTTTATTAACATATAGGACATACTGATACATAATTTAACGAAGTACATTTTTGTAATCATATCTCATTCAGCCTGTACAAAAGTGGCTTAAGCATTTCTGGTATGGACACAGTTGTTACACCTCTACATTTATCACACACACATTAACAGGAACAACCACACCTTATTTAAACATCAACAATCCGCTCATGTTTACCATCATGTTATGATTAAGAGTTATCTGTGGTGCTCAGAAGAAAGACTGTTGGCCTTCTTCTGAGCAATTCCAAGCATGGTTAAGATCCTGTTGCAACTGTGGATAATTATAGCAGGGTTATTGTGGTTATGGTGGTTTCGAGCCCAAAAAATTTCCTATCATGATGTCAGCGTTCCTATGGAACTGGAAAAGCCAACATAATCTCACAGCAATTAAGTCTCTTTTATGTTTTAAGCCCCAACTGATCCAATGGTTGGGTTTAGGGGTGGGGATTGGGGACTAGCTTCCTTTTTAAATGTGTTTTTGTATGAACAAATTTGTATGAATTAGCAAACTTTTCTGACAATACTGTTTGCTTTTGAAAAAAATATGTACTTTTCCTCCTGAGTTTGGGCTCAAAAAACAATTCTAAAAATAGAAAGTTCTTCAGAGACAAAAGGCAATGTCCACATAATGTACATGGGTATATTTTTAAATGGGCTTTTCCCTGCTTTCATTTATTCTACATGAAAATGCAAAAATGCACTGTGGTGTAAGTTAAGAGCATGCCGAACCAACAGGTGCCATAATGAGACCTTTATGCTGGGTCCACTCCAAACAGGGAATTAAGTATTTTCATGAGTAAAACTGCAAACAAATCAATGCAAACATGAGAACAGAGGTGGATTTCCCTACCGCGGATGAATGACATGAAATATGAAATATGCGTTTGCCACAAATGGGCAGAATTTTGCCTCATTCTCCTCTTCCACATTTAGTGTGAACCCTGCCGTGTTGATCAGTCAGAAAGAAGAAAACAGTACGCTTTCTGATGTCATGAAGCCAAACTCTGGTTGTAGTGTCCACACGTCCACACTGTACCTGCGGTTATGGAAAATTTAAAAAGTCAATAAACATATGGGTGTACCTGTCCTTTCCATTCAAGAAAGTCAAAATTTGTGCAAATTTCCATTATTGTTTGTTGCGCCGAAGGGTTCATTCGTCAATACAATCCAAATACAAGTATTAATATGTCCAAACATGTTGAGAAGTAAAACCTTTCAATGGTTGTACGTATTCACAGTGCAGTTAAAGATAGTTTGTGTCTGTTTTGTAAAGCTTTTTGATTCTAGCTAAACACTGTAACCAAATGTAGCCCCATGTGAATATAAGAGCAGGACACAGAAGCGGCTGAGTTATGACTGAATGCATTCAAATGAACATAGCTTCACGTGTCTTTAGATAAACGCATTAACTTATAGACTAAATCTATGCATTTTCATGAGCAACTGTATTTTCTTATCTTTATCTACTATAGCTGACGAGACATTTTTCTTTTCTTTTTTTTAAACGTTGTGTCTACTTATAAATGGTTGACTTGTGTTTGACAAAGTTGGTTGTTTTTGTTTGTTTGAAGGTCAGTTTAAAATGTTAATCGTTCTGCTCATTTATTCTGATGTATAGACTACAGTAGTTGGATTTTGTGCATGTACATGTCTTCTACTTGTTTGAAAACAATAATATCTTGATTCATCAGTCTGGCTTGTTGTGGGTAAACTTCTTGTAATGTAATTTTCAATAAAAAAGTTCATAAGCCTGGTTTTCAACCAACAACATTTAAGCTGTTTACATCACAAAGACAAAAAAAGGGGAAAGTTTTCCATGAAGGTTAAGTTGCTGACGTTTTTGAAATTATTCCAGTTTACAAAGATCCACAATAGAACACTCACTGTGTCTCAGTTGGTTTACTCACACATACTTGCCTTGTAAGTATTTGAGTGTGTAACAGAGGAGTTGGCAGATTTTAGAACATACTACATAATCACATTTTTAACAGTCACAATGTTATTATATGCTGATCAAATATCAGCAAAGGTAATCGTAACATGAAATAAGCTAAGATATGAATTATTAGCCTAATCAATCAGATGCATTTACTGCCCAACAAAGGCAAGCATTATGTTTTTTTATCCATATTTTTAGTAGGCAGTAAGCATGTGCAAAGATCCGTACTTTCCATTCCAGCTATAAATAGTTGACCACTGGTATAACTCATTTACACAGTTTGACACATTTAAAAATATATATCAACAAGGAAGTATAGTACGCAAATTTGGATGCAGAAACAATATATGTCAATAGACAGGTTCCAGAGGTATAAATATTTTCAGTCACACTTTAAGGTTTCATAAGTTATTGTTAGTTAATGTATGTACATAACAAACTATTATTAATTAACAATACTTTAATCATTGTTTAAGAATGCATTTAAATCCATATGCATGCTTGTTTACATTAGTTAATGGGTTGGTTAAACTAGCAATAAACAGTTTTATTTGCATTAACGTAAACAAAGATGGTAAAAATACTGTAATAAATGTATTGTTCATTGTTTGTACAGGCTAGTAAACCTATTCACATTAACTATTTGTTAACGTATATATTACCCTAATTTTTTAATTGGAAAAAAACATTTGTAACTGTAATTGGCAAACCATCAGAAGCTATGTTTCCATCTACCTATTTTTAAAACCTTTAAAAAAAAACGGTTGATGGAAATGCCATGATGTGCTTAAATTTCGAAAATGAGTAACTAAGTAGGATAAATTTTTTATTCAATAAGAAAAGATGCACATAAACTATGATGGAAACACTTTTACCGCACAAATTTTAGTATACGCATTAAAAAAGGTCATGTGATGTTGTGATAAGAGATCATGTGATGATGAAAATGTGTGTAAATGGACAAACCAGCAGGCTAAACACACTGTAAATAATCTGAACTGTTGTTTTGGTCATTCTAAAACGCTTTACCATTTCAGTATTAGTGTTATTATTTTATTAATGACCTCTAGAATCAAAAGCATCTCTGCTCCGTGTCTGACACCTTCAAACGCCACCGCGTGTCAGGATTGCCTTCTGAGACAAAAGTAATTTATTAGATGAAGAAAAGATCGATGCAGCTTCTCCTATCACAGCAAATTCTGTTTTTACTGATGATATTTGCCGCCAGTACATCAGGAAGTGACAATTTTGTTCGCTTTGACTCATTGGATGGAAACGCTGCTTTATTCGCACATCTTCTATGCGATAATCCAGTTTTGCGCATAAAGTTCATTCGCATTTTTGTATGGAAACATAGCTAGTGCAACCCCTGTTATTGTTTTGGGGTTGTCACTAGATTGTACACATGGTTAATTCCTTCTGTTCACATTAAGTCATCGCTTTTAAAGATGGGATGTTAACATCGCTCCAGACATGCCAATATGTCTGCTATCTTAAACCGTCAATGTGCTAGCTTAGTAAAATCATCTGCTGAGGTCTGTTGCAGATCTAGATAACCATACATGCATGAAATTACAGTTGCAGACACAGTCAGGTTAATCTTGTGTTTAAGGATCAATTCTGACAGTTCCAACATGGCAGATGGCACACATCTTGATGTCTATGTAGAGTGATCTTTAGCCCAACCCACTACCAGCAAGCAGAATTGAAAAAGAAAAAAAAAACATGTAATGTATCGTTTGGTTTGTTTATACATCTGGGAATAATGAATGGGAAATCTACTTTCTGTAATCAGCACTCCAAAAAAGGGGCTGCCATTTTTTCATAAAAGATATGAAGATATTAGTTTCAAAAAGTTCAGATTATTCAACTGGTTTAATGTTGTTTAAATTTTTATCTTAAATACTGAAGAGAAATGATTCAAATCATATAGTCAGACAAAAAGAAAACAACAAAACACAAATCCTTAGTGTAACCATTTTAAATTTAATTCCTGAATTAAGAAGAATAAATAAAATTGGAAGCCTTTTATTTCAGTTAATGATCAAAATACTGTATTACAGTTGCCATAGCAACTATATTGCTTAATATTACAAAGATAAGAATAATTTTAGTCAAATATCAACTACAGCAGCATTTTTAAGGCATTCAGACATTCAGATGAAGAAATTTCTAATATTTTACAGTCGTTTGGCCTGGCTGGCTAGCACAGTTCTGAAGCAATGACTAGACCAAAGGATGAAGTAATATGTGTAATTCAGACTGAATGACCTCTAAGTTAGGCAACACTGATCAGTTAAATACATTATCAAAATGTTAATAAACCATTATAAATACTCACAAACCCAAATAGTTGTGCATAAATCATAGTAAATCATATTAAAACATTAGATGGACAGTCACGTGAACATTATGGCTGGAATGTGTACACGAGTTAACATGTTAGTTTTGTGGACGCAGTATCTTCATTATGCATACCAGCATGAATTGTACCATTATTAATGTTATACTTTACATATATATTATTAAAACTGATAACGCTATGAATAAAATATATGTCCTCCAGCATTCCCAGGGCTATGATTGTAAACTCTTGCAGTTAATCATGTCATTCATATTTCTAGTACAAAGTGTAAGAGTACAGTACTACAATATGACTGCATTCACCACCACGGCAGGATTCTCGATGTCTGCTTTACTCTGGACCATCCGCAGCTCCAGCTGAGCAGGACTTGGCCTTCGATTGGGACCGGCCACCTCTGATAGACCAATGAATGTCAGAAAAATGAGTTGCAAGAACAGTCAAAAGCAAAAACAGCACTTTAAAATATCTTACCATGTGCGTAAGTCATAGTTCTCTTAATCACATGATGAAGGACGGAAGCGGTCTTTTCGCAGGCCATCTGCCAAAAACACATTATGAAACATTACAGTTATTATTTAACTTGTACTATTTCAATGTAGCGGTGAAATTAAACACTTCTGATTGGCCACAGTTTTCAAGATGTCAATGGTTTTGTCATCAATTGGCTACAATGTCCAACAATTCAAAAACACACAGTAAATTAAACAACTCAACTTGTGCACCTATCTTGTGTTTGGGTTTCTTTTTTCTTTTGCAAACTTTGGATAGATTCACATAAGGATGGAACTTGCTTATGATAAATCAAACTAAAATATTTTTTATGTACTGATGAATTAAAACACCACTGATTGGCCACTGCGTTCCAGAAATCAACAGACGTGCTTAATTGGCTACATTATTCAACACTCCAAAAAAAAAAAAAAAAAAAAAAAAGCAGTATATAGAAACTTACTGGAAAAAATTAATCTGAAAACCAACACATCATGGATGAATTATAGGATTATGGATGGCTGATGCTACTTTTATTATTGTTCTACTACAAATACTATGATAAAAATGTGTACTATTACCAAACTGTGGTGACTAATAAAACCATGCATGATTTTTGGACCACCCATTCGTTGTGGTGTTCCACAAGGATCCATTCTTGGCCCTTATTTTCTCTCAATATGCTTCCTTTAAAGCAGGGGTCTTAAACTCAATTTACCTGGGGGCCGCAGGAGGCAAAGTCTGGGTGAGGCTGGGCCGCATAAGGGATTTCACAAAAAAAAAGTCCTCAAATGTCATTATTAACAGTTTTAATTATTTCTTCTGAACATGAAGTGTCCTGAACATTAATAGAACATTGAGTGAAGATTATGAACAGTTCTTCTGAACATGGCATCTTTTGCCTACTTCTTGCTGCCAGAGACTTGACAGCGCTTCTTCTCACAAATCTGAACCACATTTGGCTTTAAAGCGGAAGCAGTTGAGACCCTCAGTATGGCTTGAAGATGATCATCATTAAGTCTAGACCTGTACTTTGACTTATTGAAGTCCTAGGTAAAAAAGTGGGGGAACTCACTCAAAACTTCCACTCCCTCACCTAAAAAAGGCGTATATATGTAGCTATAAATAAAACACCCCCACCCCACTCCAGTCACATCAGTCTGTACCAGTCTGTATCTACCTATAATATCAACACAATCTCACGGCAATTCGTAACTTTTTCATTTAGTGGCTAATTCGTATGAATTCGTACGATCTAATTCATGAGATCAGGCTGATAATATATATAAGATGCAGGGCAGACACGTGCACACATAGGGCTCAACCTGTGCAGAGCACATGCCCTTTTTAGTCTTGCATAGAAAGTGCCCTTCCAAAATGATCAAAAGTGCCCCCGCGACGCGACGCGACACACCCTCGGTCCCGCCCTTCAGTACGCGCGCGACAACACAGCTGATCAGAACGCGCGCGACAACGCGCATTGAGTGACAAGCGCGCTGTGTACGGATAGAATCAGCGGAGCGGGGAGCTCTCTCTCTCCCCACTCCACTGATTCTGTCAGAGTACAGCGGTCGGCGCGGGCCACAAAATATTGCACTGAGGGCCGCAAATGGCCCGCGGGCCGCGAGTTTGAGACCCCTGCTTTAAAGGGTCACGAAACACCAAAACACATTTTTTTGAGCTGTTGACAGTCGTATATGTGTCCCACACTGCTAAAAACACTATTAGGACACCTATATTTCACTAAAAAGTGTAAATTGGTTGTTTTTGCGTTATTTCAAGCAAATTCGTACTTCCGGTTTGAAACTAATTTTTGAAGCTGCGTCACGGCCATGACATAATAGCGTGTATTCCAGCGTGCAGACTGGGCGTCTGTACCAGAGTGTGTCTTATTACGTCTTACAGTGTGTTGCATTAATGCATGAGTAAAGCTTGGTTCAAACCAATCAGCACGCTCTATTGTGCAACTTCATTAAAATTCATTACTGTCATAGTGTTTAGATGGCAGAGACGCCACGTTGTGTTGGCAAAACAAGCGTGAAGGTTCGCTTTTATAGTTTGCTGCAGTTAAGTTTTGTTTTCATTTTCTCTCTGTGAGAGCACAGCTGGAGTCACGTGTGGATTAACAGTGTACGCGACGCGCAACAACAATAACTTACGTGTCTAAGGAGGATTATTGTTTACCCGAGAGCTGTTCTCATCTGCAAACGCTGAGATCTGGATTCGTTTGTAGTCTCCTCTTAATAAAGACGCGGCTCTAGTTGCTGGTGATTGTCCTGTCTCTACAGATTTGGTAAGTTAGCGACCAGTGCTCTTTGTTTATTCAGTTTGTTCATATCGAACAAACTATTGCATCGAGTGTAAACATGTTAGCACCACAACCAAACTTTAACCTTGTGTAGGATTTTCACTGCATTTTTGCGACCGGAATAACACACGCGGCTTTCTGACACTACCTGCCGTGTGCATCTAAGTTTCCGGGAAATGCTGAAGGTTTTTTTTTTCTGTCATTCGCTGTGCGGTATCAAACATTGCATGAAAAATACACGCTTAGAGCAGGTCCTTGAATCAAATATCTCGTTTGTCACAAAGGACATGAATGTATTCCCTGAATGAAAGAGCCAAACTGCAGTTAAAGTCCACCATTTAATAATTTGGCTAATAATTCGACTACAGATGTCCATGTAAACACCATCACCTTCTCCCCTGTGTGTGTGTGTGTTTTGACTGAAACATAAAAAAAATGTTAGTGTGTGCCCAAATAGACACTCCCACACCATGCCTCTTTTCTTTCTCCGACACTCCCCCATAAACAGAGCTGGACACACCCACTTTTCTGACTTTTTCCAAAGTAGAGGTGTGAAAACACCCTGCTGAAACAAGGGGGTTTCATGGCCCTTTAAGCTCAATACTCTGCAAACATAATACAAACTATCACTGCTATGCTGAGGATCTCCAACTATATTTTCCTATCAAACTAGGAAAAGATTTATCATTAGAACACCTTTTCTTATGACTAACCGACAGTAAGACCTGGATGACCAATAACTCTAAGCAACTAAATGAAAATAAAACAGAAGTGTTTTTATTAGGTTCTGCTGCTACCAACGATTCAATTAAAACTCAGCTAGGAGTCCTAAATGACAATCTGCACAATCACGACAAGAATCTCTGAGTTATCTTTGATCCACTCTTGCAGTTTGACAAACATGTAAATGCTGTTGTGAAGAGCAGCTTTTTCCAGCTTAGATTGGTGGCAAAAGTTTCTAAAAAATATCTAGAAATTGTAAAATGTTTTAATCTCCTCTCAGTTAGACTACTGCAACTTCCATTGGTCTACCGCAGTCAACACTCTCGGTTACAGTTTGTCTAGAATGCAGCTGTCATATTAATAACAGAAACTAAGAAAAGAGATCATATTGCCTCATTTCACTGGCTTCCTATAAAATTTAGAGTTGTTTTTAAAATCCTTCTTTTCACTTATAAAGCATTGCACAATTCAGCCCTGGCCTATGTCAGTGAACTTATTAGGCCTTATACAGCTTGTAGACCATTAAGATCCCATGACCAGATTCTTTTGACTGTTCCTCGGTTTCGCTGCAAATCAAAAGGTGATCAGGCTTTCTGTGTTGTGGCTCCAAGGCTCTGGAGCAATCTCCCTCTGAACATCAGGATTTCTCCTTCATTGGATGCTTTTAAGTGTAATTTAAAGACTTATTTTTACTCTCTTGCCTTTGAGTGACACGTGCATGTTATTTCTTATCTGTTTTTTAGTATTACTTATCGACATATATATTCCCTTTACTTATATTTTTTATACCAGTGTTTTGTCTTATTTACTTTATTTTATTGTAAAGCACTTTGGATCAACTATGGTTGTGTAAAATTGTGCTCTATAAATAAAGTTTGCCCTGCCTTGCCTTTTGTAAGGATCTGCCAGAGTACTAAAAGGTAAAAATAATAATTCCAGGCAGATATATTAACAAAAGGCAACAACGCTTTTAACGTTTAATTATAAATTTGAACAAGGCTAACTACATAAACAAGGGTCATTATGATAAATTTTTTATTTATTTATTAACTATATTTAGGACTGTTAAGTGGCCCTGGAAAGCGTACATGCCCTTAAAAGCCTGACACGCCAAGGACAAAGCCTGTCACACCAAGTACACAAACTATAATCAAACAGTGCAGATAAAAAATGGTGTGTTAAAAAAATGGTCGTCCTTCTTGCACTGAATGCAACTATATTTCAAATGTCTAAAGTACCTTGAGATCAGGGTGGTGGTGTGTCCAGGCCAGCAGCATTGCAGCAAACAGATCACCAGTTCCCACAAACACAGCATCCACCCTGGGGATGTCCATACGTATCTGCTGAGTCACCATGGAGCCATCTGTCCTCACTGAAAAACAACAGGTACATCTTATTAAACTAACAGCTGGTGGAGGAAGTCACTAGTAAGCAAGAGCTACGTTTTAATGCACATTTTAAAGTAACAAATCAGAAACAAAAGTCGGAACCCCAACACAACAACAAAAAATATAATTTATTGTTTTTATGCTCACTGAAGGAGGTTTTGGCAAAAAAAAAAAATAATAATAATAATATTTCATTGAAATAAGGGAGATGGAAATGCATTTGATAAAGAAATTAAGTCATAATGAAAGGATAGTTTACCCCTCCAAAAATTATTGTTATCATCTTAATTCAAAACTTAATGAGTTTCTTTCTTCTGTCAAAGGAATATATTCTTAAAAACAATAAAAAGTTGTAACCATTGACTTTCATAGTATTTTTTTTCCTATTATAAACACCCAATTTCAACTTTCTATTTTGTGTTGAACAGAAAAGAAGATACTTTGAAGAAGCTCATAAAGGTCTTTACACATCAGCTTACACCAGTCTACATTCCCTCTAGGGTTCCTGGCCATGGAGCATTATTCTCATTAACTTTTCCCATGAGGGAGTTATTTATAAAAAAGAAAAGGAAGTCTTCATTAAAGCGTAAAGGGTAGAGTCTGTAATTAACTGATTAAGTGAGGGAAAGAATAACATTATAACAAACAAATATTGATATATTACAAATGAACTGCTTAAATCATTTGAATTGTTTTTTTCTTTTTTGAAATATTTCCCAAATGATGTTTAACAGAGCAAGGAACTTTTCTCAGTATGTCTGATAATATTTTTTATTCAGCAGAAAGTCTTATTTGTTTTATTTTGAGTTAAATAAAATAAGTTAAAAAAAATTTAAAACAATTTAAAGCTCAAAATTATAAGCCCCTTTAAGCGATATTTTTTTGATAGTCTACAGAACAAACCATCATTATAAGATAACTTGCCAAATTACCCTGCCTAGTTAACCTAATTAACCTAGTTAAGCCTTTAAAGGTCACTTTAAGCGGTATAGAAGTGTCTTGAAAAACATCTAATCAAATATTATTTACTGTCATCATGGCAAAGATAAAATAAATCAGTTATTAGAAATAAGTTATTAAAACTATTATGTTCAGAAATGTGTTGAAAAAAAAACTCTCCATTAAACAGAAATTGGGGGAACAAATTAATAAAGAGGGGGCTAATATTTATATATAACTTCAACTGTATATTTATATTTTTACTTTCTCGTTGGAGCAGTAACCTGAAATTCAGCTTGCTTTAACACTTTAACTATAAATCATTGAGCGACACAGAAACTAGCCTTGTTGTCAAAGTATGCAATTTATGTGTATATAAAAAAAGGTTGAATGTCTCATCAATATTTAGCGTGTCAATTATGGATTGTTATAAAAAGTAATTTAGTAAAAAAAAAAAAATAAGCTGCAGGTCTGATGTTGTATGCAAAATAAGTCAACTGAAAAATTCATATCACAACTGCTTTTCCTAACTCACTCAACCAAGATGCGATGAGGAAACTTATGAAGCAATTATGAAGCAAGAGCTGAGTTTCATTGCACTGTGTTCTTGGAATCAGAATGACAAAATAACCTTTTTTCTGGCTCCCCAAAGCAACCAGATACTGATCGCCCAGAGGAGAGGGCAGGTCAGAGCTGGTGATTACCACTGTGTCTGGACCCATTGAATGAAGAAGGTTCATCACCTGAAACACAATCAACCGTTTCAGTTAATGTCCCACTGGGGCAAACGCATGATTACCTTCTGGTTTTCGATAAGCCAGCTGGGCCGTTTCTAAAGAACTAAAACCTAACCACACCCAGAAAACATTTCATTTAAAAGCTTAAGAAGTCTAATAGAGATCAACTGTTTTTGCCAAAACAAGGCTAAATTTGTGCTGTCAGTGAAAATAATAAACACTGTAGGTCTAAGGCCCTGTTCACACCTGATATTAAGATTCATTTTCTTTGATCAGATCACATGGCAAAAGTGAAATAAACTAGTAGTTGTTAAATGTCAACTTTCGAAAGCTATTGTAGTCGAAAACAGTCTAAGCTTAAAAAAACTGGGTGATTTTGCATGTGTTGGACGATTGGTCTTTTCTGCTTTATCAATTCCTGATCTTTTGCATTATGTTTTTTTATTCATTTAATTTAATTAACTTTGATAGTCTAAAACAATAGTTAAGTGAATTTTTAAAAAAAATAAAATAAAAAAACAGCATAAATATATATTAAAACTTTAGTTAAGTGACAAGGCAGGAGTTGATCAGAAATAAATGACATTTGTGAGCCTTGTTTTAACCCTCTACTGCACGGCGTAACCATATGGTAAACATGATACTCATGTTCATTTACCTGCCACTGTTTCTTTAAGACCAACATTTTTTTTTTGTTGTTAGAAAGAGAAGATCTAAGAGTAGCCAATGATGTGCTTTGGTTAAGTCACATGACATGCAGTGTTTTGCTGTAGCGTGATTTCTGACACACGTTTTTTGTGAGTAGTTGGTAAATGCAAATGTAAACGTCAATAAAAACAAAGGACCAAATTATTTTAGATCCACAAAAAAAACATTGTTATAATCTTTACTGGAAAAAAAATATATATATTAACAGTATGTTGTATATATGATAATACAATATTATTATTGTTTTTTTAATAATATTCAGCAAAAAATATATAATGAATGAAAGCTGTTGGAAGATGGGTTGTGGTAAAGTATGTATAAGGTGTCATTTATAAGTTAAAGCTCATAATGCTGCAACACCAAATAAATTATTTCAAACAAAAAAAGACTAATTATAAGGAAAGTTTTAAGTTAGATCCACTGTTGGAGGTTGTTGCCATATGGCAACATTTCATAAAGTACCTTAAAAAAAAAATTCAAATTTTTTTTTTTATAGCACTTCAAGTTAATCCATTTTAAGAAAAGAAAAGAAAAACAGTCAAATATTTTTTTTAACAGGTTTATCATAATGCGTGGGGTAGAGGGTTAAGTGATCAGCCTTTTCATGTGATCTTTTGCATGATCATATTATTCAAAGACAGCTAGTTAAATGACTTTCTATGTTCTAATATATTTGTTTGATGAAAATAAATCAATTATCTATAATTTCATTACTCACTGCATAAAGTAGGCCTAGCTTATTCATAAAGTGTTTACTCATCTTTTAATATGAGTTTTTTGGTGAATAATGAAATGGCAGGGATGTCAGAGTGGCGCAGTGGGTAGCACAATCGCCACACAGCAAGAAGGTTGCTGGTTCGAGCCTCGGCTGGGTCAGTTGGCGTGTTTTCCCTTTGTTGGCGTGGGTTTCCTCCAGGTGCTCTTGTTTCCCCCATGAGTCAAAAGACATGTGCTAAGGGTGAATTAAATAAACTAAACAGGCTGTAGTGTATAAGTGTGAATGAGAGTGTATGGATGTTTCCCAGTGATGGGTTGCAGCTGGGAAATAAAACATATGCTGGTTAAGTTGGCGGTTTATTCCGCTGTGGTGACCCCTGATTAATAAAGAGACTAAGCCAAAAAGAAATTTAAATGAATGAAATAGCACCATTTTTGAAGTATTACTTTAAAGCAGGGTTTTATATATAAAGACACAGACAGATGTCAGACTGTTAACTCACTTTTATCATCATTTGCATGAAAGTGCAATTATTTACAGAGTAATAACAAGTATTTTAATATAACGTTTTTAAAACTAGGATGATGGTTCAATATAAATAGTACAGATCCAAGAACTGTCCATCCCAGTCAAAACAGTCGAAGTTTAGCGGGTCTCATGCTGTCATTAGCCAAAATATTTTGACAAACCACACATAAAGGTCGTGGTTCATCAGCTGGTCCTGTCCACGTAAATCCTAAACTCAAATACTGATCATCATATGTCTTTTGGGTTTAAGCCTTGAACTTGAAGGCTTTTGTGGCGAGGGGGCGTAAGTGGATACACCTGCGGTACGCACCTGCCTCAGATCCCACGGATGGAGCTCTGGATCATAAAAGGAGGAACGAGGGCAGAGGAAGCCGAGAGAGGACCGGGCCCGGACATATTTTACTTTTGCTTTCAGTTCTGCCGTCCGTTTGTTCGGAGCTGCCGTCACTGTTATTAATAAATCATTTTAAAACTGCATCGGTTCTCCGCCTCCTTCTTCCCGGCGGCCAAAGGGCCGTGAACTTCATTACAGCTTTGAATCGGGGGGGTCTCAGAACCGACCCATTGTATTAGCAGGCATATACCTGTATTGGCGGGCTTGCCAAAAAGAAGCGAATTCACAGCTATGGCCTTCTGGGTAAAAAAGGTTTTCTTATATTTGACGTATTGTTTTTTTTTTTCTTTGTTTAATTAAAACGTTTAAATATAATAAACAATACATATAATAATTAAACTTAATAATTGTATTTTTATTATATTTTTTCCCGTGCCTCCCCTGACATGCTCTGGCGCCCCCCCAGGGGAGGCGCGCCTCACACTTTGAAAACCTCTGCTTTAAAGGATCAGAAAAAGCCAAAACCTGCTGCCTAGACCCTGCTTCATCAGAGAAATGGTCAAAATTGGACAAAAGAGACATTTAAATGCCAGGTGTGAATTATAATGTGACTCCTTTTTTCACCTGTGCACAGATTAAAGAAAGCACATTTAATATGCAAGAATAGCTTAACACCATAGTCTTCAAATACACATGAAAGAATGACCACACATGTGAAGTCACTGACACCTCACATTAAACCTTTTTTAAGCCATCTTTGTTTCGACATCTAATGGACCCTTTTCACAAGGCGGTGATGATGTCATCAGCATCTTTAATTCTTGAATGCTTTGAAAGTATAAAAAAATAGAATTACTGCTTATGTGAGGTGTTTTTAATGCAGCATCTATTGGCGGGACAATAGATTTGACATTGTTCTTTATTGTGGCTGATGTTATCAATGTGAAAACATGTATTTCTTTTATTATTTGAGCAAATAGGAATAAAAGGAATATGTAGTGCTATTTTATTCAGGGCTCTTTAAGTTTATTCAAGTAAAACTATGACAATTTCTGCTGCTGAGATACCTGGTAAAGTGAAATGGGTCTACTGAACACAGAAGTGCTTGGTTGGTAACTGCCTGCACAGTGGACAAGAATTGATTCATCATGCCACATTTCTAAATTCAAACACATTATACACATCTGTCAGCAAAATGGTGGCTTTATTAATTTTGCATTGACAGGATGTTTTTAAATCACATTGTTTTATTTTCAATAATTTTTTTAACTAATTGTGACATGTACAGTGTGTGGTACCTGTGAGTTGTTCTCAATTGTATTAAACACTAATTATTGCTTTGAGCAATGTCATTATATAAGACAGCTTAACTGAAAATAGTAATAATACAGAGAATTTACAACTGAGAGAAAAAAAGCAGATGCATTAAGCATAAATCAGCTTTAAAAACTTACTTCAACAGCATCTTTTTCTGAATGTATTTTTCTCCCAGAGAGGAGTCTGTGAGAGAGAGATAAATTGAATTACACATTCACATCTGCTTGGTGTTTCATAGTGACACATGTCTTGTGGGTAAACCAGAGGCAAATTTAATCCTCCACACATGAGAGTTTTTGGGGAGAGGCTATTTCTTTCTTTGCATATTAGGACATCACAGATATGACTGGAAATCTGAAAGAGAGAGGGGAGTGAGATCGACAAATATATGACATCCCAGCAAATTCACAAGCACTGAATGGTGCAAATTTGTTTGCTTTTTAAATAGCTGGAATGTTTTAATTATTCACACTCACCTCTCTGGTCATAGTATGCAACCGCGACATAGCAACAGACTAGACATGTCACTTGTATAGTTATGAATAGGGAAAATGTAGTGGCCAATATGATGAATAAAGCCCTGTGTTCTAGTACAGGAGCCAATCATTGCTAGCTATTGACTGAGGATTCTCTGGGGGAGGGGCTCAGACTAGATGTGTGTTTTTACGATTTTACGAATCCTTGCTTCATAAACATAAGAAATATGATTAACTATACTTGAATACAGATGTTCTCTGGTTTTGTAATTTGTATGAAACGAATGGGAGGTTCAGTTTGTCCCATCAAACGCATACAACATGACAGCTACTACTTAAACGCCCACAAACTTCTAAACAAAGAGGCCACTGTCATTTTGGGAGGAGATTTGCCATAAATAATGGAGTTGAACCAGCACAATCACATAAGGCATTACTTAGAGGATGACAATATGTAACATGTAAACAGAAACAACCATAAGGTAGGTTGGTGTCATGATCTCATTCCCTTCGAGAGTGCATTAGATTGGGCCAACTGAAAACAATGCAGATTTAGAGTGATTCAAAACTTCATAAACTAAATTTAAGAGACAGTTGTTATTTATTTTATTGTTGATTCCAAATATAAAATGTAATCGTAAGCTTGGCACACAGTTTTGGAGAATTTGATGTTTCTCCATTCAAGCAGAACGGCCGCACATGCTGCCTGAGAGGCGTTTCAAAGATGGCCGCTGAGTGAAATGACTTGTCGGAAAGAGACTTTGACATAGCGCATATTAGATAAACAAAATCAGTACACAATAATTGGTTATGATCAGGGCCAGACAGAATCTGCGGACGTTTTTTGCTATTTCTGCTGAGAATTTTGGTAAAAATCTGCGGATTTCTGCTGAATTATTTTAGGAGTATCCAGCGGAGTATCATCCTAAAACCTACTGTAAATATATTAAACAAAAAGTAATAAATTACTGAATCAAAAATAAATAACTTCAGATTTACACATTTACTAAAGTAAATAAACAGAATTAATAATGGGCTAAAAATCTGCAGAAATCTGCGGAAAATCTGCGGAATTCTGTGCGCGCAGATTCCGTGTGGGCGTAGTTATGATCTCTTACCGAACAGATAGTGAATCGTCCATGTCTGCATCGCAGTGCATTTAAGGAACAATGTACAATTTAAAACCCATAATAGCATGACACTTACTCAGCTTCAAACTGATTGGGAGTGATTATGTCTGCAGCAGGAACAACTCTGTCTCGGTAGATGGGCAGCAGGTTCTCAGGAACGTACTGAAATAACATTGAAAGTGATCAGTTCTCTATAAACTGCTTTAGCTACACCCAAACGTTTCACCAAGATGCAAATGCTCTTGAGAGTACAGGACGTTTGAATATTGAAATAAAAACAAATTATCAAAGGAATAATCACTTTAGATAAGCTTACCATGGCCCCATTATCACCTAGCACCGGATCACACACTTAAAAGGCAGAAAACAGGCAAATTAAGCACATAAAGTATAGGCAGAATTAAATTGACTCTGGCTAAAATAAAGTACAAATGAATCAATAATAAAACTGCAGTTGTTTTTCATTTGTTCAATACATAATGAGCTAATGTATTCCATACTCAAAGGATGTTTTTCTTTTGTTACATCAGCATAAACCAGGGGCGGACTGGCCATCTGGCAATTCTGGCAAATGCCTGAAGGGCCGGACCATTTTTTAAATGTGGGCCGGTCAGTTTCTTTTATTTAATTTTTTTGTATGTATGTATTGTTTTTACATGCAGGCAGCTTTTATCTCTTGCAAAATGTGTACATTATGATGATGATGATGATGATGATGATGATGATGATAATAGTAATAATAATAATAAATGTTAAGTATTTGGCCCAATCGGCAATGGTCAGCTGGTTTTGAGATGGGCTGACACAATCCGACCTAATCAGAGGTTACATAAACGTGATCAAAATCTGGCAAGAATGTTAAACAAACAATAAGTGCAACACAAGCTAATTATCAGAGATGGGCCGTAAAAAAGGAAAGGAGGTGGCGAAAAGCTCAGAGAAAGCAAAAAACAAAGGCTCTAAAATCAGACGCTGCCAAAAGCACAAAATTAAATGAAATACTCTCAAAAAGGGGGCAATGCGGTGGAGCAGTGGGTAGCGCTGTCGCCTCACAGCAAAAAGGTTGCTGGTTCAAGCCTCGGCTGGGTCAGTTGGCATTTCTGTGTAGAGTTTGCATGTTCTCCCCATGTTAGCGTGGGGTTTCTCCGTGTGCTCCGGTTTCCCCCACAAGTACAAAGGGGAACTGATGAACTAAATTGGCCATAGTGTATGTGTTTCCTAAAACATATGCTGGATAAGTCGGCGGTTCATTTTGCTGTGGCGAGCCTAGATTAATAAAGGGACTAAGCCAAAAAGAAAATGAATAAATATATGTATATATAAATTTGTTATAAATGTTTTTTTTTGTTTCAGTCACACGCATTACATGTTTAAATATCTATTACATATGGTACTGCTTATATTAATTCACCATCTGTACACCAATATAAGTAGTGAATGTGCGTGTTTGTGGGTGGGGTTGTGTCGGTGTGGTGATGTGGGCTGGTGTGGCTACAGTGCCAAGGCTGATATTTGTCCCATTTCGCCCCTGGCATGAACCTAACAAAAATCCATCACACTTTTAAACAAATATGTAACAGATTTTCTTGTTCAAGAAATCTTTTGTACAATGTCACAATAGGGAAGCAAATGAAGGCAACTTTAATCTGTCCTCTGTAAGTATTTGTCTATATTCTTTTAGAACAGGGACTGTCTCTTGACACATTAGACAAACAGAATTATTAAGACATTTAAGTGATCAGGTTTTCTGATTTCCAGCACTCATAAAATCAATAGACCTCTTGATCTACTTTTTACTTTAAATTTACAGTAAAGTGCCACCATTTTATTTAATACTCACCATAAACCAGGCTCGGATTTGCTCTCTTCAGCTCCTGGACAATGTCTACAACCATATCCAAAAAGGAATAATCTCTAGTGTATCCTGAAAGTAAAAAAAAAAAAAAAAGGTGGAGCAAACCAACTGAAGCATGCATTAAATTTATTATAAAACATAATTTATTAATAATGATGTCAGTTTGAACTCCATTTGTTCTAATTTTATTTGCTGGAGATGCAAGAATCAATACAGCTAATCTGTCGGTGACTCAGAAAGCATCTTAGCTATGCTGTGTGCTTTAAGCCACAGCAAAATATCTGACCCATTTAATCATATTTGACTTTTGTGGTTCTATAGTGTCCAGTTGATGCAATATTTTAGACTGAGCACTCAGATACAATGCACTCAATGGAGCTAGTGATCCCACTGTGAGGGGTAGGTTAAGGGTGGAGTTAGGTGTGGCCTTTCAAAGCATTGCATGCAGCTCAGATTACAACTGCACCAGGTCTACATCCAGACCCCTCTCAGCTGATAGCCCTAAACAAGGGGTATCAAACTCAATTCCCAAAGGACCGCAGGCCTACAGAGTTTAGTTTCAGCCCTGCTTCAACACACCTATCTGTAGATATCAAACAAGCCAAAAGCACTCAATTTGTTTGATCAGGTGTGTTTGATTGGGATTGGAAGTAAACTGTGCAAAGCTTTGTCTGACACCTCTGCCATAAACACAACCAAAAAATGAACCTCAAAAGAAGTAGAAGATGCCCACTGCTCAAAAACAGTTAGGAAGGTTAAAATATTTTAGACATTTTTCTTAAAAAACCACATGGATTTAATATAGGAGACCTTTTTTGCATTGAAGAAGAGTAAATGATGGAATAAAAGTTGCTTAATAAAACTAATAATAATAAACAATAAAGACAAAATAAATAATCATGAAATACAATCGCTCCATATCTCTATGAAAACATTGTGCATTTCTGAATGTGATTCAGTCAGGTGAGTGGGCTAGACAAACCACCTATAGAAACACTCTTATCCCTCTAAATGCACTGGACAATTTTACAAGTACAACTATATTTAATGGTGAACGTACCACAAAACATGTTGCACTACTTGTTTTCTTTAACCTTAAATGAATCTTTTTCAAAATACCTTTTACAATATTGTTCAGTCTACTGTAAAAGTACTTGTATAGTCTGTTTTAGGTTACGTGTTTAAGTATTTAGAGTATAGGTATAGTTAGTAGTGTACTTAGATTAACGCTTTGGTATGTTAGTTGTCTGCAGGTTTAAAGGGTCACGAAACACCTAAACACATTTTTTGAGCTGTTGACAGTCGTATATGTGTCCCACACTGCTAAAAACACTATTAGGACACCTATATTTCACTAAAAAGTGTAAATTGGTTGTTTTTGCGTTATTTCAAGCAAATTCGTACTTCCGGTTTGAAACAAATTTTTGAAGCTGCGTCACGGCCATGACATAATAGCGTGTATTCCAGCGTGCAGACTGGGCGTCTGTACCAGAGTGTGTCTAATTAAGTCTTACAGTGTGCTGCATTAATGCATGAGTAAGGCTTGGTTCAAACCAATCAGCGCGCTCTATTCTGCAACTTCATTAATATTCATTACTGTTATAGTGTTTAGATGACAGAGATGTCACGTTGTCAAGTGTTGCTTTTATAGTTTGCTGCAGTTTTGTTTTCATTTTCTCTCTGTGAGAGCACAGCTGGAGTCACGTGTGGATTAACAGTGTACGCGATGCTCGACAACAATAACTTACGTGTCTAAGGAGGCACATTGTTTACCTGAGAGCTGTTTTGATCTGCAAACGCTAAGATACAGATTTGCTTGTAGTCTCCTTTTAATAAAGACGCGGCTCTAGTTGCTGGTGATTGTCCTGTCTCTACAGATTTGGTAAGTGAGCGACCAGTGCTCTTTGTTTATTCAGTTTGTTCATATCGAACAAACTATTGCATCGAGTGTAAACATGTTAGCACCACAACCAAACTTTAACCTCGTGTAGGATTTTCGCCGCATTTTGTGACCGGAATAACACACGCGGCTTTCTGACACTACCTGCCGTGTGCATCTAAGTTTCCGGGAAATGCTGAGGTTTTTTTTTCTCTCATTCGCCGTGCGGTATCAAGCATTGCATGAAAAATACACGCTTAGAGCAGCTCCTCGAATCAAATATCTCATTTTTCGCGAGGGGCATGACTAAATTCCCTGAATGAAAGAGCCAAACTGCAGTTAAAGTCCACCATTTAATAATTTGGCTAATAATTCGACTACAGATGTCCATGTAAACACAGTCCCTTTCTCCCGTGTGTGTGTGTGTGTGTGTGTGTGTGTGTGTGTGTGTGTGTGTGTGTGTGTGTGTGTGTGTTTTGACTCTGAAAGTCAGCGCGCCCAAATAGACACTCCCACACCATGCCTCTTTTCTTTCTCCGACACTCCCCCCTAAACAGAGCTGGACATGCCCAATTTTCGGACTTTTTCAAAAGTAGAGGTGTGAAAACACCCTGCTGAAACGAGGGGGTTTCATGGCCCTTTAAAATAGCTCTTATGTCCAGTGTTGTGTTCACTTTTTCATGATTTTTGTAACGCTGTGATCCTGTGAGACATGACATTTCGTTCAACTCTATGTCCACACATAGTGGAATCACAATAAAGCTCAACATGACTTGATAACTTCAATTTTTGGGTGAACTAACTCTGGCACATCACCCTCTGCCACAGCATTAAAAGACAGAACCATACATTTTTACCAGTCATGCCACTTTTAATAGATTTTGAACATACATAAGCATATTCAATGCAACATGAGATGTCCAGTTATTGAATAACATCAGTGATTAAATTAGCAGCAGACAGTAGAGCAGCAGGAAAGTGTGTACCTGTGAGCACATAGTCGTAATGGTTCACATCGTTAAGCTTGATTCCCTCGTAGAGAACGTTGAGTTCATCCGCAGTCAACACCTGCCCTTTCCAGTGCTCATAACCTAACAAGAGAAACACCTTTACAGAGACATCATTCATGTAGCCTGTTACACTGTACATTAATTAAAAACATTATTTAATAGTAAAGTACAAAGGGTTGTGCCATACTGTGGATATTAACTGTTAACACTTTTATATTATAATGAAATTGCAAAATCTGTGTAGAACTTTTGCACCTTGTTCTGTTCTTTATCAGAAATATAATCATTTGAATGTTTGAAATTGTTTGGTTTTATAGGAGATCAAATGATTCCAAGTAAAATACATGTATATGCTTAAAATATAAATTGTTCTTTCTGACCATTTGACTGACTATTGCTACTTAATAATGTAACAAAAACAACAACAACAAAACAATAAATCACAGATATGCAATGCAGTTACTGTAGCTAGCAGCTTAACAGCTAAAGTCCTGTTGAATAAAATATCTTCTTATTACTAGCATATTGCATAATAACTTGATGAACTGCAGTTTTATCAACTGATTCTACTGATGCTGCAGAATTGCAAAATGCTGCCTTATCATGTCACATGAACAGCTCTAAACAGAACATCACGGGTTGTCATGTGTAATGAATGGAGCAATTGTCATAGCTACAAGATGCTGTACCACCATAGACTGTAAAATATATGGACGTAGTATCCGTGACGTCACCCATAGGTTTCTGAAGAGCGCAAAAGAAGCCACAAGTAGGCGCGGCCAACCGTCGCCATTTTGGTCACGCGTCATCACACCCATGGTGGGATACCAAACAAAGGCAAAGAGGTGGAGAGTGAGCGGAGCTACAGACACCTGCTAGTATTTAGCTTGGACCTGGTTCAGACACACTTTATTTTGGGAGAACGCTTAATACTTTATCACCTGTGACTCGTTTGTATTCTGACCACTTGTGCTTTGTTGTACACTATATCAATAAAGTGTTTAGACTTTTAAAAACACTGCTATAATACATTGAGCCACTAAACATTGTTCTTATGATGTTTTTCAACAAGAGGAAAACGCGAATTATTTTCAAACACTTCAGATATAGTCTGTGTTAGTAAATGTAAGACTATTGATGAAATCCAGCATAACACTGTATGACAACGCTTCAGATGACTGTTTTAGAGCCCACAGCTAATCAATCTGACAGATTCTGGAGTGCATTACAGCTCTAAATATAAATATAAACGATAAATGATCTTAAATAAAATAAATACATGTATAAAGATGGTATATAAGTATATAACTTTACTCACATGGGAAACGGAGGCCACGTGAATGGTTTGTGAGCACAATTAAGTTCACTCAGCATGCCATGCCATCTAATAATTGTAGGAAACAAGTCCAAAAGGCAGTTGAGTGTGTAAAGTCACATTAAAAAACACAGAAATACGATAAATATGCCGAGTTCAGTGGCTAATCTGCAGGATTCAGCTGAGGTGACGTGACGGCGACCAACAAGACCTAGCTGTCACTCAAGTGGCCACTCCCTTAATTATGCAAACTTAATATAACCTAATATAAAGGAAACGGATGAGTTATAAAAAAATTCACCCCCCTCACAGTTGTCATGAAGGGTGATATTACCTGTATTAACCAAAATCTTTTTTTGTACCAGGCTGTAAACACCTTTTTTTCTGCTGTAAAGTTGGCCATTCTAACAGTGGGCTCAATTGAAATTTGCTCTGTTTTGGAACCAGGAGCGGCCACGACTAGCGGAATTTCAGATGAATTGCAGTTTTAGTTACTTCCGTATTGGCTTCCTGAGGGAGAGCGGGAGGTTGCCGCTTGCCTAATCATATTATACACAACAGCAAATCCTCAGAATGAACACTGTCAGTATGAGCCTGTTTACTCTTATTTATTTCATGTGTTTTCTCTGATTGGATAGTAATCTGATTAAAGAAAATGGTTCCACACATAAATTATTCAGATCTTCAAATTCCGAGCCAAGTTCAAATTTAACCCTGACATTTACCTTGGTATCACTTTGATGTTTATTGTATTTTCATTTTTTTCCCCTCTCTCTCTCTCTCACTCTCTCTCTCTCTCTTTTTCTATATTTAATTACTTTAGCCTAATTCATGTGGTAAGAGCAACAAAAAAAGAGTAAGTTATTTATATGCAGGTGGGGAGAGGTGTCCACTCCAGGATGGAGTAACAAGTATAAGTCCTTATGTCTTTATGATTATTATCAAAGTTGAATGTTAAAGGGACAAGATCATATTGTGACCTTAGTGTCATCCCTCTTCAGATTAAAACTAGAATAAGATGTGACGCCCAAGTAATCCTTGGATGATATTGTTCGGAATTATGCACACACACAGAAATTTTTAGGTCTATCTGTGTTTTAACCTATGAGGTTTAAACACCTATATATATATATATATATATATATATATATATATATATATATATATATATATATATATATATATATGACACAGTAAGTGGTGTTAAGTGCGAGTATAATTGTTGTTGTTTTGAGATTGTAAGCAGAGTGGCCTACAAATTCTGCGAGTGTTGAAGCTGGCTCCTGCAGAAGAAACTGCAAACTGTCTGCAGTAAACTTTCTTTTCATTGAATATCTGACACTTTTTCATTTTACTGACTGGTACTGTTCCCCTACAATGACTTCAGAGAACACCCTACAATTTTCTTAATTTTGTTGTCACTGCTCGTTCTATTTGAAGTATTCCTAACAGGAGTAAAAGATCATTTTTAACATAATTCACAAGTTTAGTATACATTCAAAACCCATTATAAAAAAAGAAGATACTTGAAAAAATAGAGAACGCTTTCAGATTCCTCAGTTGTTGGTGTTGACCTGGAAGCTGGTAACAATTTCTTAAAGCAAAACTATGCAAGTTAAGCCACGGTCGCACTGCACCTTTTGCCCCATAGATTTCCATTCATACATATGGTAATGTGACCGACTGGAAACACAAGCTTTGAGTGGGCAGCCAAATTCTGAATTTTGTTAAATAGGCTGATACTTTGTTTGGAAACCGTGTCTATCGACCAGGTAAAATAGCCTGTGTTACACTACACTATGTTCCACAAATATCATCACATAGCAGCTAGTCATGGCAGCCTCTTTCAGCTCGCACCATTAAATGTAAGTCCATCCAATACCATGTTTGAGGTAGTTTCCGATCAGTGACAGTCTCTGGCTTTTTCCTCAATTCCTCCTCTCATGTTTCCTTGGTAGGTAATTGTGTGTCAGTTACTGTAGCTTTTGGCTAACTTCTCCTAGCCATGAAAACAACATATGATGTGTGTTCTAAAGCAGATCTCATTGTTCCGCTCATAGACATAGAAGGGCCTTAAGGCTGATTTGTACTTCTGCGTCAAGCGCACGCGTATGCTACAGGGCAGTCTACGCGTTGACGCATAGCCTCTTGCTGTAGCCGTTGGCATTGCTGACACGCAACTCTTAAACAATGCAACGCGTACACATAGCGCAAGCTCTGTGATTGGTCAGCTTGGTAGCACAGAGGAGTGTGGGTGGAAGCGAGAGCCGAGCAAGCGTGATGCAGCGGGTGTTTACATATAAAGGAGCTCCGGATGGAGACTGCTGTTAACTTATGATTAAAGTTGTTGCATGTCAGCCGATTCCCGCCTCAAAATGAGCGACTTTGAGCCACTTGTACATTAAGGAAGCGTTCAGAAACCAAAACACCAGCAAAGGAACTCGACACAGAGAAAGATAAACACCTACTGCCAGCTAGCATTTCGGAAGTGTATTGCACAGCAACAGAAAAAGCGGGCAGAAGTATAAATGCACGGCTATGCGCAAGGTTTGCGCCGTGGGTCACGCCGATCACTTGACGCAGAAGTATAAACCAGGCTATAGTCAGGGAGGTGATCAATAACCCAATGGTCCCTCATTTGGAGCTCCAGTGTTCTGTGGAGAGAGGAGAACCTTACAGAAGAATAACCATCTGTGCAGCAATCCACCAATCAGGCCTGTATGGTAGAATGACCAGACAGAAGCCACTCCCTGACTGGAATTTGCCAAAAGGCATCTGATGGATTCTCAGATCATAAGATACAAAATTCTCTGGCCTGATGAGACTAAAATTGAACTCTTTGGAGTGAATGCCAGGCACAGCTCATCCCCAGACTAATACCATTCCCTACAGGGAAAATATCCGCTTAAATCCTCAGATTTTTAACACAATTCTGAGCAGAAATAGCAAAAAAATGTCCACAGATGCCGACTGACCCTAGCTATGAGCAACTTGGAAGATGAAACAAATAAACAAAATACGTCCTTTGTAACATCGTACAACTCAGCACTCTAAATAGCCCTAGGCATACACTTAGCCTATACATTGGCCAACACACCAATAAAAATAAGTCTTTCTTAACAAATAAATTAAGTTAAAATCTGAATTAAGACAAGTTTTAGACAATAACATTAAGATAAAGGCTCTGCCGGATTTGTTTAGCTACTTCTCTTCACAATCCAACTTGCAGAAGAGTGTGGGCATGAACATGTACGGTATTCCTTTTTGAGTGACAACATTCTTAGCTGATTAAATTTTGGCCAGAGGAATGTTGCTATCTTGTGGAGGTCATGTATTATCACTTAACGTGCGAGCCAGTCTTCGTGCTGTTTACGTATGACAGCTTGCTAAATGGAGTCTAGGGCATTGGGCTGTCAGTAGTGTTTCAGTTTCTCACACCATGGTTAAGTGTGAGCTACTTGTCTCACTCAAGTTCCCGTTGTGCTTCAAAAAATGGCTTCAGAAAGTTTATCAAAAACCCCAATGTGTCCAGTGCTATTTTTTAAATGCGTGCGCTCTCGCCTCATGCCTCCAGCTAATTCTTCATGCCATGTCAGTGCACTTCTTCGCAATTGTCACATGGCTGGGAATAACAGAGTTAGCAGGAACCCTCCCATACGCAGCCCTGACATTAATTATTTCTTGCGCCAGTTCTTCAAACCCCTCACAATTTACAATATTAAGAGGCCTAATGTCTTTACAGCAAAAGCTGAAACTTTTCTGCCAT